GAACATGCATATATTCCTTTTCATATTCCTTTTCATTATAGGTTACTGCAAGATATTGAATATAGTTCCCTGTGCTATACAGTAGAGGCTTGTCTATCTATTACATATAGTAGTTAGTATGTTCTAGTTTTGAATGAATCTCTTAAAAATATTTCAAAAATGAGCTTGTAATCACAGTGTATATACATGGTGACTATGCCATTTGAAATTTGCTGAGTTGGAAAGGAATGGAAAGTTTAAAAAGAGAAGGTGTGACCTGACAGCTGTTATCAGTTACCACGATCCTTTGCATGAGGGTGAAAGTTCTTTAGAACAGTTTGAATTGATAAGTGTGAGCATGAGTTAGCCTCATTATTTTCAGGTGCTTCACGTTCCAAATTAAAAACAAATTGGAGCTGACAGCTCTTGCTACAAGTACAGAGCACCTGTGTCTGTGGAAATCCTTCCAGTTTACATCTGTGATATATTAAGATAAGTTTTTAAAAAATTTCCTGAGGGAACTAAAATCTGAAATCATGATTATTATAATAAAATTCTTTAAAAAGATGAGAATCACATAGGGATATCAGAGACAGGTGAAGCCAAGAGAGTTATGGATAAAAAGTCATAAACAGATACAATGCAAATAGCAGAATTTCCAGACACTGCTCAGACTCCCGACCACTTCTCTATGATTTGAAAAGGGGAGGGGTCTGGAAAGCCTTGAATATTTCTCTGCACATGCAGTTTGGTATATAATGCGGATTTTTCTCAGAACACACTAGCAGACTCAGGGCGGGGGGTGGGGTACAATAAGGCCACAGATTTTTAGAATAGGGGTTCTTAATTGAGGGTCTACTAATAGGATTCAGGGGATCTGTAATCTTGAAAAGGGAAAATTTTACATCTTTACTTTCACTAACCTCCAACTGAAATTAGCATTTCTTTCCATTATCAATGTAGGTAGCAAACCATAGTGGTATTAGCAGCGCCTGTGACTTTGTCACCAACAGGAATCACAAGTATTGTTATATCACATAGTAGTTCTTACAGCTATCTTGAAAATCCTTTATATTCATTTTAATACTTCAAAATTAGTCACAAAACCCACTGCTAGACCTTGCTATTTAATGCACTAATAAAGAATCACACATATTATTATATTAGAAAATTTTTAATACTTTGACAACTGTGTTTTGATGTAATTGGTTTCCTTTGTAATCTTAGATCTCTTACTTTATTAATTTAGAAACATTATTACCTAGACTGCCAAAAAGGCCCATGGCACAAAAACCTCTAAAATCATCAGCCCTAGTCAACCAGCTCTAACTTAGAAATCTTTAAAAGTTTTCTAGTCTCTATTGATGTTTAGATCCCAATGACCACTTCAGTCATTAACTTTTGAATGATCAGAACAGATGTTTGACTTCTTTTGAGTCTAGGAGGGAGTAACATCCATAGATAATGTTCCCAGGAATACTGTCCCTAGGATCAGAGAAATCCATTCTCTATTACTTTGCCTGTTACCATTGAAGAGAAACAGAACATGCCACAACAAAATGTCACTTTGGCATAAAGATTATTTTGAACTGGAGGCAAATGAGAATCAACAGAAGCAAAATGAAGCCTTCCAGAGCTTTCCTTATCTAAATGAAAGCAGACACTTCTGAGAAATGAGGACTATCATAAGTCCCCTCTCCCAGGCAAGTTTTATGGCCATGAAGAAGATGGAAAGTCAGTACTGAAGTAGACTTACACAAATAACCCTTCCCTTCCATTAGTTTCTGCCCTTTATTTACCTTCCTACATTTGCTACCCTTGGAAGCCTAAAACCCTTTTTGTCTTATTGAATCTCTGCAAATCTATTCTTCTGTTGTCAAGATACTATATAAGCCCAAGTCCTAACCATTCCTTTGAGTTACTTATCACTGAGTGCTCCCATGTGTATGCATGATGCACATTTTAATAAACTTCTGCTTGTTTTTTTCCTTGTTAATCTGTCTTTCATTAGTCTAATTTATAGGGCTCCATCTGAAGAATCCAAGATGGGAGAGGAAAAAGAGTCTTTTCCTCCCCTACACCATTTTGGAAACCTCACTTGCCCACAATTGAGGAGCAAAGGACAAAGCTGCCAAGTTTAATAGGTCAAAGTCATGGTTTGCTTATAAATACCTGCTGTCTAAGCAGAAACAGCAAACAGCCCTTTGAACACTTAGGCTAAAATATTTTCTGCCCAATTATCTTTGGACTATATGGAGTCATCACTGCAGGCAAGTTTCTAGTTGTTCCAACAGGACTGCTTCCACTGTCTGCATTTGGTTGCAATGGCTGTCTGCATTTCATACCAGGAAATATACTTGCATAGGTTGGTACATGCTCACCATCATCACTGAAGTTGATAGTCCATATAAACCTTTAGCAAGCACCCTTGACTTATATTCATATCACTATTGAAATGCTAGTACTTCAATTTTAATAATATTGTTATTTGGTAAAATCCAAGCAAGGTTGGTGGTCTAGTTAATTGTATTGCTGATGTCAATTTCCTGTTTGGCCCCGTACTCTCCTGCCCCACTTCCCAGCCTCCTACACATACATTCTAGGTACCAGCAAGAGCAGCACAATGTCT